AGCTTTGAGATGTTTATGCCGTAAGGGCAGAAGAAATGTCTTTAAGGTTAGTACATGGCTGAATAAAGTAAAAGGGGCCAAATAGAGAAGATAACTGCTTTCTTCATACAAGAGGGTCAGGAATCTGGACAAGGATGGAAGAGAGTACATGTGCAGAGTGAAAATACAGTTCAGCTCAGAAAGGCAAGAGGAAGTAATGTGCAGAGAAACCAGATTCTAAGTAGTACAGAGGACAGCTCTAAGCACTGCTAACACACATTTGTTATGGCTGGAATTTAATATATTTGATTAGCAACTATCTAGCAATGGACAAAGGCAGAGTTGTGAATTAAAAGAAATGAAACTCTCAAAACTACTTTAACAAAACGAAGCTATTCTTTTCTAGATTAGAAGTCAGACTGCTAATCTGTAGGTTATATCTGACTGACAGATGTTTTGTTTGGCTTGTGTGGTGTTTAGGAAATTCCCATTTAAAAAATCTATATATTTAGCAAGTAGGACCACAATTTCCATAAGGGAATGATCAGCAAGAGCTGAGAAGCACAAGTGTACATTGTAGAAAACGCATTATATTCCTAGTTTTCTATAGTCCCGTCCACTTCCTATGATCTCACACTCAACCTAACTCTGACTTATTTTTTACCTGTTGCTATGGTTTCAGTGTATCCCCTCCAAAACTCAGGTGTTGAAAATTAATGGCCAATGTAATGGTTTTAAGATGTGGGGTTTTTAAGAGGTGTTTAGGCCAGAAGGGTTGCTCTCTTGTGAATGAGGTTTATGTGCTTAGAAGAGGCTTCAGGGGCAGGTGGATCACTTGAGCCCAGGAGTTTGCGACCAGCCTGGGTAACATAGTGAGACCCCATCTCTAAGAAAAATAAACAAAAATTAGCTGGGAGTTGTGGTGAGTGCCTGTAGTCCTAGCTACTCAGGAGGCTGAGGTGGTTGATCACTTTAGCCCAGGAAGTCAGGGCTGCAGTTGCGCCACTGCGCTCCAGCCTGGGGGACAGACCAAGATTCTGTCTCAAAATAAATAAGTAAGATAAAAGAGGCCTCATGAAGCCTTCGGCCTGCTTACCTTCTGCCTTCTACCATGTAAAGCCAAAGTGTTCCTCTCCTCAGGAGGATGTGGCCCATACCAAACAAATGAACCTGCCAGTGCTGCGATCTTGGACTCCCAGCCCCAAGAATTGTGAGAAAATAAATTGCTGTTCTTTATAAAAGACCCAGTTTTGGCCAAGCATGCTGGCTCACGCCTGTAATCCTAGCACTTTGTGAGGCTGTGGTGGTCAGATTATTTGAGCCCAGGAGTTTGAGACCAGCCTGGGCAATGACATGGTGAAACCCTGTCTCTATAAAAATACAAAAATTAGCTGGGTGTGGTGGTGCATGCCCTAGTCCCAGTTACTCGGGAGGCTGAGGTTGGGGGAATGTTTGAGCCTAGGAAGTCAAGGCTGCAGTGAGCTGTGAACCTGCCTGGGTGACAGAGCTGAGACCTGACCTCAAAAACAATAAAAACAAACAAACAAAAAAGGTGGAGAAGCAGGGTATAGAGTACGTAGGGTAGTATGCTTTTGGTAGAGCTGTTACAGAGAATGAAATGGAAAGGGAGGCCAGAGATAACCAGTGAGTCAACAACACCAACAACCAAAAAGCAAAAAGGAATGGAGATGCGAAAAGGCACTTCATGTTCAACAGGTCCAAGGTCCAAGAGTACTTGAAACTTGTCACTCTTCCAGTGTTTCTTGGCTCAGGGAATGGTACCACTGTCCAAGTTTTGGTGGTTAGAAATATAGAAGGCATTCATGATATCTGCCTTCCCGATGTTCATTATCTAAATCTTCACATAGGCAACAGCCACAGGAAAAAGCATGTCAAGTAGAGGAAACCATATATCCAATGTTCCTATGTTGAAAGAAAACATGGTGCATTCCAGAGAGTAAAGACCTTTTAGTTCAAAATAGAACAAGGGGCTAGATCATGAATGGTCTTACAGGACACATTAAAGATTTTGTTCTTTGTCCTGAGAGCAACAAAAGCCATTGACTTAAGATCTGAAGCAAGGTAAGAGAGATGATCAGATCTAGTTTTTTTTTGTTTTGAGACAGAGTCTCACTCTGTTGCCCAGGCTGGAGTGTAGCATTGTGATCTCGGCTTGCAGCAACCTCTGTTTCCCAGATTCAAGGGATTCTCCCACCTCAGCCTCCTGGGCCTACAAGTGCATGCCGCCACACCTAGCTAATTTTTGTATTTTTAGTAGAGATGAGGTTTCACCACGTTGGCCAGGCTGATCTCAAACTTCCAACCTCAGGTGATCTGCCTGCCTTGGCTTCCCAAAATGCTGAGATTACAGTCATGAGCCACTGTGCCTCACCAAGGTTTTGACAAGAGCTTTCTAGCTGTAGAATGGAAAACCTATAAAGATTATAAAGAGATTATGCCGAAAGAAATTGGTGATAGTGGTAGAAAATCTCTTAGTTAAACATTGACAGAATAATCTAGTTGAAAGGAAATGGCTGATTATACAGAAGAGAAAATAGATAGTTGAGTGTGTTTTATAACAGACAAGTACTGTCTTTAGACTTGGGTAAGGGATCTCTATTTACTTGGCCCTCCTCTTGCTGTAAAGGACAAGGAGTCCATGAGGTCAGGGGCCATGCCTGCTTGGAGCTTGCACTCCTCTTTTAGACTGACTAGATCTGCGGGCAGAGCTGCTGATTGTGCATCACCATTTGCAGCGGGAGGGGGATGTGGACATTTGCCTGGATATGTTGGATGTATGGCCCCTTTCCGTGTGGCAGATGAAGAAGCTGGGGATGGGAGGATGGGAGGAGAATGTGGTCAGTCCAGGTACTCCGAGAAATCTAAATTCAAACATGGACTTCCAGATCACATGAAAGCAGATTTGTCAAGGTGGTAGAATACAATACTGTAATGTAATGCCAGGAGTAACAAATGCATGCAGGCAAGGGTATAGCTTAACTGAGCCCTTAAGAAGTCAGACATGCATGCTAGAGATCAGAGAATGAGTGGTGCAAATTTCCAGGCATTACACAAATGTATGTTAGAGACACTTTTCTAGAACAGGAGGGTTAACAATTAAAAAATGAATTTAATTGTAATAGTTTCAGTGTGATTTTGAAAAGCTTCTTGAATGTGGCATAAGTTGAGTGTGGAAGGGACCTTAGTGATCATGTAATCAAATTTACTCACTTAACAGGTAAGAAAACAGAGGTCCTGACAAGTGAAGCAGTCTAAGGTTACAAAACTAGTGTGTTAGCAGATGATTTCCAGCCTAATCAGTCTACTCTCTCACCAATGCTACTTTTCTTGAAGACATCTGCTGCCAGTCAATTCCAATTAGAAAGTTTTCAGTGTTACATATTAAATACTTTTATTACTTAAAAAAGTTTGAGGCACCTAAAAATAAGTCCATTCTTGGAGACATCTGCTGTCAGTCAGTTCCAATTAGAAAGTTTTCAGTTACATATTAAATACTTTTATTACTTAGAAAATTTTGAGGCACCTAAAAATAAGTCCATCCTTGAAGACATCTGCTGCCAGTCAATTCCAATTAGAAAGTTTTCACTGTTACATATTAAATACTATTATTACTTTAAAACTTTTGAGGCACCTAAAAATAAGTCCATAAACCAATCAATATTAAATGTTGACTCCAAAACATTCCTTTCTTTTTTTTTTTTTGAGATAGAGTCTCACTCTGTTGCCCAGGCTGGAGTGCAGTGGTTCGATCTCTGCTCACTGCAACCTCCTGAGGTCAAGCGATTTTCTTGCCTCAGCCTCCCGGGTAGCCGGGACTACAGGCATGCACCACCACTCCCGGCTAATTTTTTTCTATTTTTAGTAGAGACAGGGTTTCACCATGTTGGTCAGGCTGGTTTCAAAATCCAGACCTCAGGTGAGCCATTCACCACAGCCTCCCAAAGTGCTGGGATTACAGGTGTGAGCCACTGTGCCCAGCAAAAAAAAAAAAAATCTTAAAAAAATAAAAGGGAAACAAAAATTTCCACCTTCCCTAGGTCACAAAAATGAAAATTCCTGAAAGGTTACTTTTAAATGTTTCCAGAAAGTAACAGGCAATTTAGGACTGGGCAAGGCCTGATAACAGTGCATTATAGTGTAATACAATGCAAGGAGTAACAAATTCATTTCTGAGTCTTAGGACTTACATCCTCTCACTGGTCATCTCCGGACTTGACTACTTTTATTTTTCCATCTATTTCTTTTACTTTCTGATTTCATGTGAGATCTATGAATTAAATTAGAATCATGTTCTTTGCTGTGGTTCCAACTGTAATCCATCTCCTTACATTCCTTATCTTCTAAGCTCCCCAAATTGCTTATCTTTGAAGCAAAAATCAAAGCACATGGTTACAAAACATCAAAAGCACAGTGTGCTTACTAAATGCCAAAATACAGAAACCTAACAAAAATTATTGCTTTTCAAACATCTATAAATAATTGCCAACGAATTTTTCTTGGCAAGTCTGTTATAATAATTATAATAAAATTTAAATCTTAAGACAGGGCATGGTGGCTCACGCCTGTAATCCCAGCACTTTGGGAAGCCGAGGCGGGCGGATCACCTGAGGTCAGGAGTTCGGGTCCAGCCTGGCCAAAATGGTGAAACCTCAACTCTACTAAAAATACAAAAATTAGCTGGGCATGGTGTCGGGCGCCTGTAGTCCCTGTTACTCAGGAGGCCGAGACAGGAGAAACGCTTGAATCAGGAGGTGGAGGTTGCAGTGAGCCGAGATCGCACCACTGCACTCCAGCCTGGATGACAGAGCGAAATTCTGTCTCAATAAATAAATAAATAAAAATTAAAATCTTAAGGGTCTAGTCACAACAGTTCAAAAAGTATCCGAACCCAGGGAGACTCTTACCTTCAAGCTTGGAAGTAATCCCAAAGTTCTAGACTTGCCGGAAGTTATCTCCCACAAGGGATTATAGCACATGATCTAGCAATAGTAACATACCTTGTCACCACACCAAATAATTTTGAGTACCTCCCATCAATCGACTACGGACTAACAAAAGGAAGAACTTGATTCTCGTCATATTTTGCTCTTCTGAACTGAGTATCCCTGAAATCCAGCTTTCTGAACGCGCAGATGCAGGGTGAGAGGCACCCCCGGAAAACTGGAAGGGAAAGTGCTACAAGTTAAAACAGTCTTCGTGGCAGCAGAGACGATCGCTACCGCGGCCATGGCAGATCTGGGGGTCCGGGGCGGGAGTTCTTCCGTGATATCCGCGGGGCACCCGAGTTCACGCTGGCGACAGTCGAAAGTCCTCCCAGCGTAGTGCTCCACCACTAGCCGCACCCCGCCGAGCTCTGACCTCCAAAGAGGGTCCGTTTGGCAATCCCGCCCCTTTGTCTGATGTTTGTGCCTTTGATTGGCTCTTATGTGAATCCCTCAGCGTGGCTCGCCCAATGAAGGTCTCGGCAGGTGGCCCGACCGCTCCGCCCCTTCCCTACCCCTCGCGGAGGGCCCGCCCCCTGCCCCGCGCCGGCGAGCGGAGGAGAGTAAATACAACAGGAGCGCAAGATGGCGGAACCGCCGAGCCCCGTTCACGGTGTAGCTGCCGCCGCCCCCACCGCCACCGTCTCGGAGAAAGAACCGTTCGGCAAGCTGCAGCCCTCCTCCCGGGACCATCCGGGTCCTCTGTCCACCAAGAAGGTCCGGACTGAGGAGAAGAAGGCACCGCGGAGAGTCAACGGAGAAGGGGGCAGCGGCGGGAACAGCAGGCAGCTGCAGCCGCCGGCTACACCTTCGCCTCAGAGCTATGGCAGCCCAGCGTCTTGGAGCTTTGCCGCTCTGTCTGCTGCTCCCTCCCCATCCTCTTCTCGGAGCAGTTTCTCTTTCTCCGCTGGCACGGCGGTTCCCTCAGCCTCCGCTTCCTTGTCTCAGCCGGTGCCGCGCAAACTGCTGGTCCCTCCTACGCTGCTGCACGCTCAGCCTCACCATCTCCTCCTGCCCGCCGCCGCCGCCTCGGCCAACGCCAAGTCGCGCAGACCTAAGGAGAAGCGGGAGAAAGAGAAGAGGAGGCACGGGCTCGGCGGGGTCGGAGAGGCCGGCGGGACAGCCCGGGAGGAGAACGGGGAGGTGAAGCCGCTGCCGCGAGGTGGGTGCCGGACGCGGGCGAGGGGAGGAGGGCGCCGCGGGTCCCCGCCGCCCCCTGGCGCCCGCGGGACCCGGGAAGGGGGAGTGCGGCGGCCGCGTGCGCCAGCCTGGACTGGGTGGGAGGCGTTCGGTTTTCGGGAGAGGATTTTGCAGTTCCCAAGGGGACAGGAAATGGAGCCTGTAATTTTGGTTGCAGGGAGGGGGATGGCCGATACTTTTATTATCTGTGTCGTTTCTTCCTCCCAGTTAGTGCGTTGCAGGATTTGTAAAAATGGATCTTGAGGACTCTCCTATGTGTGTGTTTGGCTAGGGAGGGAGATGGAGGGAACGGGATGGGGGAAGGGTTTGGTCTTGTAAAAGATGCTTGATTGATAGACCATTTAGACGTGGTCCCGGGAATTCGTATTTGTGACACAGCCTTCAACTCCAGATAATTCTGTCAAAAAAGGGGTGTGGAGGGCACTGGCGTCAGCTGGAAGTTACCAGAGGCCTGAGCATTTCATCCCTATTAGGGAAATGAGGTAGCGTGCAGGGCCCGAAGTGCGCTGTTTCGTAAGGTACCCTCCCTGCACCCTACTCTCCGTTTTGGGTGGTCCTGTTTGAAATACCACCCTTCAGAAAGAATTTTCAGCCATATTCTTCTTTTCCTGAAGCAAATGATAAAACCAGGAGCTTTGACGATTTTTGCCTACCTCAAGCGGCTGCAGAATGTTTGAACATTAGAAAAAGGCAAATTCTTAAGCCTTCTTGTCAAACAGGGTCAGTGTTGTTTTTAAAACAAAACTACACTAGTCGTATAATTTTTCAGATAGTATTTCTTTAAAACAGGTGTTTCTACCACTTCAGATACACAATGATCTGACAATAGTGCAACATGCAGACTGGTTGAAAATCAAATCTTTATGTGATCGCAAGCTTAAAGCGCATAACCTTTATTATAAATGTTCACTGCTACACAGTGTTGTCAAATAAACTTTTTGTTTTTTAGAAAAAAATGAAATGTCAAGTAGTTTTAGGATTGCTGATCTAACAGTAGCTTAGATCATGAAAAATTCTCTCTTATAATTAGAATGGTTTGTTTTCACAACTTAAAACATGCGGCATATGCATGTAGCAATAGTGCCACTTCTTCCTTGATGTTTTTTGCCTGTAGCAAAGCTTTGACATCTAAGCATAGCCATCAGGGACTCTGGTGCAATGTAAAGATCTCTCGGCTTTTGGGAGTGTTGCTTGTAGGAAAGTGACTTTGAGGATGGGATTTTTGGTACTTTTATTCAGGAATTTTAGGTGGTTAGTATTTTAAAACTATTTTGTCTTAACGATTATATGTAAAATTTAGGGTATAAGTGCCTGGAAGTCCATCCAAAGGCAGTTTGGGATCATCAGTACTATTCGTGGTATGTAAACTGTACATTTGCTTTAAGTTCTCTGAAAGAGGAAGTGAATATGAATATTACGTAGTTGGAGGAATGGAATAGCTGAGAAGAAATAAGTAAGCATTCTTTAACAGTTTTGACTTAAAATGTGGAATACACAAATGGTCCTTAAAGAGAAATTTTTATAGTTCTATTACATTTAGAATCCTTCTTTTGAGGGTTAACATTAATGTTATTAATCCAGAATATAAACAGTGATAGCTTTTACATTAAGATTTGGAAATGATCTTTTCCCATGACCTGTGTGGGTTTTTTGGAGTAGTGACAAGATATCAGCACTACTGTAAGATTTTCATTTTTTCAGACAGGAATGCTGTCTCATTGAGGAAAAACTATCAGAGAAACAGATTGCTCTTCAGTGTCTTGGTGGTAAATTTAATGGTGAAAATTTTTCGCTTGTAACTTGGGGAATACTTATATTTTTCTAAAGTTTAGATTTAACTGAATTTGAGGTTCTGTTTTAACCAATTAAGGTTCTTAAATAGTGTTATTAACAAGTGGTACAGCCTGGCGCGGTGGCTCACACCTGTAATCGTAGCTTTGGCAGACTGAGATGGGTGGATCACCTGAGGTCAGGAGTTCGAGATCAGTCTGGCCATCATGGTGAAACCCCATCTTTAAAAAAATAAATAAATAAAAAAGTAAAAAAAGAAAAAAAACAAGTGTTATAGCAAGAATACATATATGCCTTTATTATAGATATGACTGCAAATATGAAAGTCCTAATTTGTAATACAATGCTAATTTCTCTGTGCTTTTTGTAAAAATCTTAGTGAATGGGTGACCAAGTGTCTGTTTAGGTATATATGTCTTTTTAGTGTTCCTCTAAGCTGGCTGTGCATAGTTCAGTAACCCCGCAATTATCGACAGCTGGCTGCTTGAACAGCCTAAGTCAGAACCAGAACTTAGCTATAAAGACATCTAAACAAGGAAAAGAAATTCTCCCTCAACGAAACAAAACTGAACCACACACACCCGAACGACCTAGCCTGCACCCCAACTCGATTAAACAATTAAACTCCTGTATTTATTTATAATAGGACTTTTTAAAAAGTCCTAAGTCAGAACTGCTTTATTTTTACATTGGTGACCATTCTAACAATGTATTTGGATTAAATGAAAGCATGTATATGAAATGGCCTAGCAGGGCCTTTAGTAAATGTTATTTGACTCTGAAACAAAGTTAATAAATTTTTTAACCCTATAACTAATTAAAAGGTGGGTGAATCCTGATAGAGGAAGGATCATTGACAGATTTGAAAGTTAAGTATGATGAACAAGAGAATTATGAAAGTTTACTAGTATAGGCCCATTTTGTTCCAGGGCTTGATGCCTTATACACCCACAGCCTCTAAGGCCATCTAGTCATAATGCTGTAGCTGACTTGCATGATAGCTTGACTCACCAAGTAAAAGTTAAATTTCTATTTAAAAAAGGAAAACTGCAAAATATTTTAGATTTTTAAAACCAGAAAATAACCTGATTTTAGTGCATATAGAGGTAATTTACTGAAGAATTAATAAATTTTCCTGTAACACTGAATAAATTATGGAATTGGTAAATGTAGAAAGTCAAAGGGGACATATACTGAGGGTACCCAAAATTGAGAATTGTTTTATGGCAAATAACACAACAAATATTTCATTAGATATCAATGTGCCTTCACCGATTCCAGTAACCAATAAAATCTGTATAGACTTTTTAACTTTTGTTAGTATTGTTGCTTTGTATTTAACTTATTTTCCTTAAAATGACCCTGTGAAGTATTTCAAGACAAAACCAGAATATTTTACTGAATTTTTGCCTTGAAAGTGTAGTTGCAGAATTTAACTGTAATGAAAATAGTAGCTTTTCTTAGAATCAAATAATTTGAGGTATATAAATATGAGTGATTTCAAAGGGATGGGTGTCTGAAGATTTTTCTAAATATACTCTCCTCCAGTAGTTACTGTACAATTTTAGGTTAAATTCATATTCAGAGTTTTTATCATGTGACTAAATATTTGTCTCTGCTGAGGGAATAATTTACTGTGATTTTATTTACTGGTTAACCTTTTGTTTTTCATGTCTCATTTTTTTTGTTTGCTTAGTTTTCTCTGGCAAAGTCTTTCTGAACCCTATAGCAGCTCCATGAAATGCTTCTCAGTACAATTTTCCACATGGGCAAATCTATCAGATAAACTTACCTGTTCCATTTGTTCCTGTAGACATCCCTTTTGTGGCCGGGTGCTGTGGCTCATGCCTGTAATCCCAGCACTTGGGAGGCAGAGGCAGGCGGATCACCTGAGCTCAGGAGTTCAAGACCAGCCTGGCCAACAAGGTGAAACCCTGTCTCTACTAGAGATCTAAAAAATTAGCTGGGCATGGCAGCAAGCCCCTGTAGTCCCAGCTACTCAGGAGGCTGAGTCAGGAGAAGCACTTGAACCTGGGGGGAGCAGAGGTTACAGTGAGCCAAGATTGTGTCACTGCACTCCAGCCTGGGTGACAGAGAGAGACTCCGGTTCAAAAACAACAACAACAAACCAGGACATCCCTTCTGTAGCTGTCCTTACTGCTTCAGTCTGGGTTTCTTCACCTTGGGACTTTACTTAGCTGACATTCTGGGAATTTTTAAAACTTGTGTTGTATTTTATTTTTCCGGGATCTCATGCCTTCCTTTTGGTTTCTTCCTTCATTTTGGTTTCCTCTGCTACTAGTACTATATAAGGATTCATGGGACGTATATTTTTTTGGATTTTATTTTTATCCTTTTACTTGACTGGCAGTTGAGAGATTTCTGCATTAGAAATAATTTTCCCTCAAAAGTTTGAAGGTAGTGTTCCATGATTGCCTGGTTCTCAAAGTAGATGTTAAGAAGTCTGATCTCCACAAAGTTGTCTATTCTATCTGGGGAATTTCAATCTTTTCACTGAATTTTATAATTTATATATTTTTTCTTTTTCTTCACATCTCAGTCTTCTGAACTTTCATTGAGTTTTATTTTATTTTATTTTTTGAGATAGATATATCTTGTTGCTCAGGCTGGAGAGCAATGGCACAGTCTCTGCTCACCGCAACCTCTGCCTTCCGAGTTCAAGCAATTCTCCTGCCTCAGCCTCCTGAGTAGCTGGGATTACAGGCATGTACCATACCACCCGGCTAATTTTTGTATTTTTACTGGCAGTGAGGTTTCTCCATGTTGGTCAGGCTGGTCTTGAACTTCCGACCTCAGATGATCCACCTACCTCGGCCTTCCAAAGTGCTGGGATTATAAGTGTGAGCCACCACGCCTGGCCTATTTTATTTTATCTTATTTTTTTTAGACAGAGTCTTGCTCTTTCGCTCAGGCTGGAGTGCAATGGCACCATCTCAGCCTGCTGTAGCCTCCGCCTCCCGGGTTCAAGCAGTTCTCCTGCCTCAGCCTCCCGAGTAGCTGGCTTTACAGGCAGGCGCCCACCATGTGTGGCTAGTATTTTGTATTTTTAGTAGAGACCGCTTTTTGCCATGTTGGCCAGGCTGGTCTCAAACTCCTGGCCTCAGGCGATCTGCCCACCTCGGCTTCCCAAAGTGCTGGGATTACAGGCAT